TCTTCTTCTTTCCCCTTCTATACCTGACCTCTCTCGTTTTCGACCTGTCCATCTTATCCCATCCCTCACTCCCTTGCCCACCTTCTCTTGTCCAGCTACAGCTCCTGCTTCTTTCTTCTTTTTCCCTCCTTCTTCTTCTCGTTCTTCTTTAACTCTTCTTCTCATAACCTTTACACTTCCCCCTTTCCCTTTTCTTCATTTAATTCTCACTCTCTCCCTGCCTTTGTTTTTTCCCAATATTAACTTTTCGTTCTTCTTTAACTCTTCTTCTCATAACCTTTACACTTCCCCCTTTCCCTTTTCTTCATTTAATTCTCACTCTCTCCCTGCCTTTGTTTTTTCCCAATATTAACTTTTATGTTATGTATACATGGATRTAGGGTACAGTCAAGTGTGGCGTGTGTTCTAATTGCTCTCAAAGAACTTTCAGGCAAGCTTAACCCCGTTATACGACCAATAATGGATTCAGTAAAGAAAGAGGAACAATCMATTATGCAGGTACACGCTGGCTTCTTCCCGTCTTGCACCTTGTTGTTGTTATTGATTCTCAGCGCATGCTCTCTGATATTTCCCTTTGTTGTCATCGTATTTGTCTAGGCAAGCACTTTGATCTGATTTTGTCCAAGAAACTCTTCAAATCCTACTCAATCATTAAAGTCCCACGTGCATCCAAGAACCTTTGCGCGATTTTTTCACATTACGAAAATTCGCCATCTTTGATTTTTGAACCAATCAGAAAGCAACTTTCAGCAAAAGCTCATTTGCAAAACAAAAGAAACGATCGCAAAGGTTCATGGATGCTCGTTGGCCTTTAAACATCTTGATCCGTATATCAATATTAGATCTACGCGAGTGTCATTAACAACGGTTTTTGTAAACATTTATCGCTGATGAAGGTCTAAAAGGCCGTTTACACTTGCGATTTTTGCAGAGCGATTCTCGCGGTGATCGTCGCGCGACCATCGCCTGAGTTTCGAACATGCTTGAAAATTGGCTGCAACTTCGCGGCGATTTTCCATCGCCGCAGCAATCGCAGGGCTGTTTACACGAACGATTTTAGTTGCGCTATAGCAAAGTGGCGATTATCGCGCTGCAAAAATCGCAAGTGTAAACGTGGGTCTTGAGATAGAAGACCTAAATGTCTAAATAAAAATTATTGGGTATCTAAAACAGAGACAAAATACGTAATTTCCATAATTAAGCATCTTGTATATCAGTACTTAATGTTTTCGTTTGTATAATACTAGATGAAGACAGCCCAGAGCCTTGCAAATCTCCTTCAGCTGACCATGGCAAGATCACCATGTCCAAACCCAAAGATTGTTAAAAACCTTTGCTCATTTGCGTGCTGTGATCCAACAGTCACTCCCTCGATCAATCTAAACATGAGTGTTGATACAGATGAACCCCCACCCTCCCCCTCTGTGTCGTCTGGAGCGCCATCATTTAATAACAGCAGTATTGTGAA